ATAACCACATTATATTTATTTCAGTTTGCAATTAGTTGTTTTACGTGACTTAAGGACACTGCGTATGCAGCACAGGCGATGTGTTATTGCCCGTTTCCACTGAGTGGAACGGTACGGGTCGGTACAGGTCACCTTTATTAGGCTTGTGTTTCAACTCCCAAAAGGGTACCAATAGTACGCGCTGGTGATGTGTCTCTGTCAACAAATAACGTTCAGCTGCACCTCTCTCTCCAGCTTTTGGTAGCCTTTTGTTCTGCTAGGTACCCTTTGCAAAGGGTACCCAAAAAGTGGTACGGTACGGTTTGCTTTTTGGTACCTTTTGACGGTGGAAACAACCATAAAAGCTTACTGAATAATCTCGTTTTTCGATTTGTGATAAGATTATTTTGCTGACCCCATTGGCAGATTATTTAGCTTGATTTAAGGAAAAACTCACTTCATTTTGGCTTATTATTTCTGAAAACAAGACAATATGTTTTGCTTGTCTAGAAAATGCTTCTTGATTTAAGAACTTTTAGATATTTGAACTAAAAACAAGATTAAAAATCTAAGTAAGAAAAGCATTTTTTGCAGTTAAAGCACAAATAGTCACATCCAGCGGCCGTCATCCTTGAACCAATCTCCATCATAGTAAGCTGCTTGCTGTTCTGTCTGTTCCACTGCTCCGTTTGTTAGATGTTTACAATTTCTTTTGCTGTCTGAAGCGCGTTAAATGCAGGAAATGCCGAAATAGCACCATGTTATTCACTCAATTTGCACCACAGGATGTCTAATGGCATCTTTGCATTGATTTCACATGTAAATCACGTGCGATTCAAAAGACACTCAAATGGCCCATTTACACTGAGTGGTCAGGTACAGTACGATTCAGTATGCTTTTATGGTTGTTTCCACCGTCAAAAGGTACCAAAAAGCAAACCGTACCGTACCACTTTTTGGGTACCCTTTGCAAAGGGTACCTAGCAGAACAAAAGGCTACCAAAAGCTGGAGTGAGAGGTGCAGAAGAACGTTATTAGTTTACAGACATACGTCACCAGCGCATACTATTGGTACCCTTTTGGGAGTTGAAACATAAGGCTAGTAAAGGTGACCTGTATCGACCCGTACCGTACCACTCAGTGGAAATGGGCCATAACACATCGCCTGTGCTGCATACGCAGTGTCCTTAAGTCACGTAAAACAACTAATTGCAAACTGAAATAAATATAATGTGATTATATGGTTTGGAATTGGATGTTTTATGAGATTATTTATTTTTTTGCGATTATTTTGCGTTTCAAGAATTTTGCAGGAATAAAAAAAAAAAGTGCAACTTTGTTGATTTTTTGCAGGATCAGCAATCACGAAATCGTGAAAAACTAGAGGGTCTGTTTAACCAGTTAAACTCTGCTGCTATTTTGGCATTTCCGCCTGGATTTCGTCTACCCAAATTTAAAAGCTTCCCAAATCCACATGCAGAGGTGTAAATGCAAAAATTTGGTATCATTTTAAAGAAAACCCTTTGAATTTTCATAAAACACTATTAAAAGTGTTTAAAATATCTGTATATGTCGTCTGTGTTATAATAAACACCTAAAAAAAGAGGCGCTTTTTGTATTTTTTTTTAAGAACTCAAATTTGAAAGTGCACCTTTTAGGTTCTGTGAGGTCTAGCGTGCTGTAATTAATTTTGGTGGTTCCTGCACATGTCTGTAATCACAGGAAAAAAGACAAATGTCTCCACCATAATCTAAGCAAAAGTTATTGTACTCCAACTGATGAGAGGTGCTGTACAAGCCACAGGGACCGAGCATTGTGTTCATATTTCACTATTCTTTTGTTTGATCAAACATAATTCACTGTGTTTGGACCACATCGGACATATAAAAGGATTACTTATGCACATCACCTCAAAAACAGAGGAGAATGGCCCTGAAGAGCACAGCATAAGGTGAGAGATGACAGCTGTCTGTGCTATCTGGGGCTGCTTATTGATCATAAATGTATTGTTTTCACTTCTGCGCCATGGAAACACGGCGATTCATTCAGCAACTGTTTGGCATATGAATATAATTCAGTAAAAAGAATGCTAGAACCGTATGAGCACCGGCAAGAGCTTTCATTTGAGCTATAACTTGTACATGTGTCATATGAAAAATATTAACATGAACCAATGTAAAATACCCAGCTCGGGCATCCAAAATACTGTGTATTTAAGTGTAAATAACTTTTATACAGTAAAATAAAAACCAAAGTGATGCATATGAGCATAAAATATAGATTCTACACTTTCAAACGACACCACTTACGGGGGTCTGGTGGAAAGCTAGCCCTTTAAATCTGAAAGCAAAAGTCGATGACGTCACAGAGTTTGAGTGGTTAATAAGCTCTGCTCTGATGCTCAGCAGCTAACGTCAGTGCCTGCTCCTAAAAACACACAGAGCCTGTAGTACTCTGAAAAACACACATATAAAATAATCATACTTCATAAGACTTTTTTTTAAACAAACTGAGTAACCACAAAGGGATCCACTCATGCAGATATACGTCTGATAATCTAATAATTCATATATTCTGCAAAGATTTGAGAAATTTTTCTACAGTTTTTTTCAGTTTTTGTTCTTGCGCGCCGATTCACTGCTGAAGAACCAATCAGAGTATTCTCTTCAGCCGACGGCCAACATAGATTCATTCCTGGTGGTGCTCTACCAGGCCTCTACTGCATCTGTCTTCAATTCCTGCCCTGATTGACTAGGCCACTGCATAACATTCCACTTCTTGGAGTTAAAGCACATCTAGTTGGTTTCATTTCAAAATCCAATGATGCCAAAAATGTGTCAATGTCCCAATATTTATGGACCTGACTGTATATCGCAGACAAAAAAAATAATGCAACGTCAGTTTCTTCCAATATCGTGCAGCCCTAATTCTAAATGTCCACTTTATTATGCTTTAAAGGTCTGATTAACAAAAACTAATATCCATTCATTGCTTGATCGTTGACCCATACATTACAGCAATTATCCTCAAAATATCATAGTGTTCTGCCAGAAATCAGGATGGGTCTGCTCATGACATAACAGCAGACATCTGATCGCAGCCACAGTCTAGCGTTTCATTTCCTGTGGCAGAGAGTTAAAATAAGCTGGTGTCTCATTATAATTCTGCTTCTCTGGCTCTCGGAGGCTGGAGCGCTGCCTCTCAGCAGATGGTGTCCAGTGCGAAATGTATCAGCGAGTGGACACGTGCTCTATATCTGCCCGCTCGATACATGATGTGCATACTCAAGTGAGACTGGCTCGTTTCTGCACTCAAGAAATGTTCAGTGCTAATGAGAGACCGAGCTGATCTCATCCACAGCCAGAGCGCATGCTTAACTCAGTAAAGCCCTCCGCATACAAATGACCCTCACACACGGGCCTGATGCACTTACACAACATCATATCAGCTGCAAAATCGTCACTTCCGGTTGTATCACAGTTTGATTTGGTTAACAAAAACGTGACATTTACAACCGAGCCCACTGCAGGACAGAAGTGTCGAAACAGTATATCGTCACTCAGCCTTCAAATAAACACCCACAAATCATACACTTATGGGACAGTTCATAAAATTGTCAGTTTGCTTTGTATCACAGTTTGATTCGATTAACATTGTAAAAAAAACGCAACATTTATAGCCCAGCCCACTGTAGGACGGTAGTGTCGAAAGAGTATATCATCACTCAGCCTTCAAATAATCACCCAAAAATCATACACTTGCGGATTGGTTCACTAAATCGTCAGTTCGCTTACTATCACCGTTTTCGGTTTCATTCGGGTTAATATTGTAAAAAAAATCCCCCATTTTAATACTTAAACACCATATAGAAACACCATAAATTGGTTCTTCTTTCACAGCCATCATTGTTGGAATTCATTTACAACCCAGCCCACTGCATGGTGAGGGTGTCGAAAGAGTATAGTTGCTAAAGAGAAATTATGAATATTCTGACTTTAAATAATCACCCAGGATTCACAAAATCGTCAATTTGCTTTGTATCACAGTTTTCGGTTCAATTCCGATAACATTGTAAAAATCGTAACACATTACCAACCCAGCCCACTGCAGGACGGGAGTGTCGAAAGAGTATAACGTCACTTAGCCTTCGAATAATCACCCAAAAAACATATACTTGAGGGACGATAAAAAAAAAAATAAAATAAAAAATAAAAATAAAAATCGCCAGTTTGCTTTGTATCATGGTTTGATTCGATTAACATTGTAAAAAACGCAACATTTATAGCCCAGCCTACTGCAAGACGAGAGTGTCGAAACAATATATCGTCACTCAGCCTTCAAATAAACACCCACAAATCATACACTTGCAGGACGGTTCACAAAATCGTTAGTTCGATTCGTATCACGGTTTTCGTTTTGATTCGGTTAACATGTAAAAAATTCAACACATTTACAACTGAGCCCACTGCAGCGCAGGAGTGTTGAAACAATATATTGTCACTCAGCCTTGAAATAAACATCCACAAATCATTTACTTGCAGGACGGTTCACAAAATCGTCAGTTCACTTCGTATCATGGTTTTCGTTTTGATTCTGTTAACATTGTAAAAAATGTGACACATTTACAACTGAGCCAACTGCAGCGCAAGAGTGTTGAAACAATATATCATCACTCAGCCTTCAAATAATCACCCACAAATCATACACTTGCAGGACGGTTCACAAAATCGTCAGTTCGCTTCGTATCACGGTTTTCGTTTTGATTCGGTTAACATTGTAAAAAAACGCGACACATTTACAACTGAGCCCACTGCAGCGCAGGAGTGTTGAAACAATATATCATCACTCAGCCTTCAAATAATCACCCACAAATCATACACTTGAGGAACGAATAACAAAATCATCAGTTCGCTTTGTGTAAAGGTTTTTGGTTTACATAGTTCAAAACACTCATTCAACACACTTGTTGTTTATGAGCCCACTTATAAGTGGCACGATACATTTACAACGCAGCCCTCTGCAGCGTGGAAGTGTCGAAACATTAGATCGTCACTCAGCCTTTTCAAACTTCTTTTTGGCCTCAGATGAAAAACAAAAAAGGCCTTCGTTTGAAATATTGTAATAAACTGGAGTAATAAAATACCTCCTTAAAAGTCTGAGTGAACCAGAAGTTGCTGAGACTTATATTTCAGTATGTTGATGTACTTCCAACTGATCTGAAACACTGAGCAGGGGGCGGGGCTTTCATTTATGCATCATTCCCTTGTAGCAAACTAACGGTAAGAGGGGCGTGGCTAAGAATATTGTGGCTGAAGCATTCAAATTGACTGATTGAGGATTACCAAACCAAACTTTTTTCCCCAGTGGATTAATTAGCACAGGTTAATTGTTCACCTAAAGATTAACAATGTGCACTATCAAAATAAACACTGTACATTATTTTGATTTCACACAAACTTTGTCCTCCACATATGAGAGAACGTCATTTGACTTCCCTTTAATTCAGTTTTCCAGTGAACCACATTGTCATTACATCTCCCCGAGGCATTGAGACGGTCATTCTGCAGTCTTGAACGCTCAGAAATGAAATGTCTGTGCAAACCGCAGTGCTCTATTTATTAGGTTTGGCCTCACTCATGTCTCTAATGAAACGGCTGGCAGAAGCTAATGCCGGATCAATTTGCACGCTTGTACCATTCTGACAGACTGTTAACAACGCTGCGACCGAACACAAGACTTTTAACACGCTTTACTGAGTCTGTCTGCCCGTCAGCCTGAAGAACCAGCTAAAGCAAAGCTGTCCACTTCTGCAAAAGAGGGAAAATAGTGACTACTAGGTGAAAAAAAAGGTCAATTAGAGCACAAGACAGGGTGAAACACTGCAGTTCCTACTGTGAGTTACACTGCAGTTCAGCCTGCTATTCTGTCTATTCAACAACAGTAACATCAGGCTACACACTCTTTTTCAAAGATAATTTAACAAAATTAATGACCTAAATGGAATTAACCTAACCAGTTAAACTCTGCTGCTATTTTGGGATTTCCGCCTGGATTTTGCCTACCCAAATTTAAAAGCTTCCCAAATCCACATGCAGAGGTGTAAATGCAAAAAATTGGTATTATTTTAAAGAAAACCCTTTGAATTTTCATAAAACACTATTGAAAGTGTTTAAAATATCTGTATATGTTGTCTGTGTTATAATAAACACCTAAAAAAAAGTTTTGTATTTTTTTGTTTTAAACTCAAATTTGAAAGTGTACCTTTTAGGTTCTGTGTGGTCTAGCGTGCTGTAATTTAGGGTGCTTTCACATCTGTAGTTCGCGTCATTTGGTCCGGACCAAGCACAATAAATGATACATTGTTGCATCTTCTGCCGCCTTTGGGTCGTTTTCACACCACACTGCTGGCTTTGGTCCAAACCAGTTGAAACGAACCAAAATGCAGTCATCTGACAAAATCCACATCTCTCATTGGCCAGATGTTGTTAAACATATTTCCTAAACTGCTTATTGATTGGTCCGAATTCATGTGCGGGAAAATGCCAGTGAACTCCCGCAGGTAAACTAAACCTTTTACTCTGGAGGGACGACTGCGCTGGCTGATTGTATCCCTGCTTTAGACAAACTATACATTAGGAAAATGAAGCGCGGCCGCGGCTGGAAAACAGTGTTTAATGTGTCGTTAGTCACTTCAGGAGGAGGTGTGAATTAATTTAGCTAAACTGTGACATGGTCATCTTGCGGAAATATTACCAACGATCCATCAGGTAATGTTTTCCCCTCTCTCTCTCTCTGTTGGTAAAGCGCTGTCAACAAATATTTTCCTCCATATCCCATTATGCACAGCGCATCGGCCTACGGCAGCTGAATTAGTCCAAAAGGCACAGTACTCTTTGCGGTTGGGTCTGTTTTAGTTTGGATCATATTCTCACCACAAACGAACCGCTGCAGGGTTCGTTTAAAAGCGTACGGTGACCACCTCTTCAAGCAGGTCTCGGTACGCTTATTTGGTCCGCTTTTGGTGCGCACTCGAGTACGATTGCTGCATTCTCACCTGCCCAAAAGAACCGCACCAAAAGGGGAAACGAACTCTAGTGCGATTCAATCGAACTAAATAAGGCAGGTGTGAAAGCACCCTAATGTTGGTGGTTCCTGCACATGTCTGTATCATAGGAAAAAGACAAACGTCTCCACCATAATCTATGCAGAAGTTATTGTATCCCAACTGAGAGGTGCTGTACAAGCCACAGGGAGGATCATTGTGTTCATATTTCACTATTCTTTTGTTTGATCAAACATAATTCACTGTGTTTGGACCACGTCAGACATATAAAAGGATTACTTATGCACATCAGCTCAAAAACAGAGGAGAATGGCCCTGAAGCGCACAGCATAAGGTAAGAGATGACAGCTGTCTGTGCTATCTGGGGCTGCTTATTGATCATGAATGTATTGTTTTCACTTCTGCGCCATGGAAACACGGCGATTCATTCAGCAACTGTTTGATATGTGAATATAATTCAGTAAAAAGAATACTAGAACTGTATGAGCACCGGCAAGCGCTTTCATTTGAGCTATTAATTATGAAAAATATGAAAATGAACCAATGTAAAATACCCAGCTCGGGAATCCAAAATACTGTGTATTTAAGTGTAAATAACTTTTGGTCAGTATCATAAAAAAAAAGTGATGCATATGAGCATAAAATATAGATTCTACACTTTCAAAAGAAACCACTTGTGGGGGTCTGGTGCAATGCTAGCCCTTTAAATCTTACCAAATACGCTTCTTCATACATGTACACATAGACATCACCTACATGCAATAAAAATGCAGCTTAACTATGTTTATAATAACTTCAACTTTATTTAATTGTAATGCAGTAATGCGCACCTTTTGTAAAGCTGCATGGAAACAATATAGTAAAAAGCGCTGTACAAATAAACTTGAATTGAACTGAATCATTTGGTTCTCTTTGACTCATTGGATGGAAACGCTGCTTCATTCACAAATCGTTTACGGGATATTCCAGTTTTGCGCATAAATCTAATTCCCATCTTTAATTGTAAACACAGCTAATGAGACTTTGCTTTATGTTCTCAAACAGCTGTAGTACACACACTACATCAATGGTAACAACACACACACACACTTTAAATACACACTTGAGAAGGTAAACCATGAATGCTGCATTGGTCTTACTTTACTGGGCTGCCCGAAGAAGGAGTTACTGGCGCATCTCTGGTGGATGACGTCTCGAATCAGATGCTTCTGGCCGTTGTAGGTGGTCAGGATGCTGATGCGCTCAGCAGGATATCCCAGCAGACGCATGTACATGTACAGCGCCACCGAATACTCGGCCTCTGCCAGATTCTACAAACACACACATATATATAAAGATTATAGACAGACTAAACATCCCTCACTGTAAAAAGCCTCCATGACGTCATGTGCATGTGCTAATGACATTCAAAAGGAGGATTATTTGCATCTCGCACACTGTTGTTGTACAAACCGAGAAGATTTTAAAAGTATAGTGAATGGATTTATAAGGATATTTTGGTAACACTTTATAATAGCACTGTATTAGTTATTGTTAATGTATCTATTACTAACAGGAACAATACATATATTACAGTATTTATTAAAATATTAGTATATGTATTATAGTGGATTAGTTAACAAAGTGCTTTGTTGGTTTGATAACAGCGCATGAACTAATGTTAACGAGCATGAATTTGGATTTTAATAATGCATTAGTAAATGTTGAGATAATAAATGCTGTACAAGGTGTTGTTCATTCTTAGATCACATTAGTAAATACATTAACTATCATTAACTAATGAAACATTATTTTAAAGTGGCTGTTAAATTTAGATTTAGAACTTTAATTGGATGCTTTACTCAGAAGTTGTATGTAATGCAAAATAAACTAGAGTGAAATTGTTAGTAAGGGCCTCATTAATTCATGCATAAATGGCTTATATCATTGAACTAAACATGTAAATGTAGAGTAAAAATGCTGGAAAATTTTACCTTGCATCATAATATAATCAAATCTAGTGATTTGAAAAAAACAAACATTAAAAATACTACAGTAACCAGGATAAAAGTCACTTTCCATATATATATATATATATATATATATATATATATATATATATATATATATATATATAT